CATGGGCTCGGCCGATTACCCTTGCCTTCTCAAAGGCGAAATTGTGGTTCTTCTGTTGTACGTGGCCATAAACCATTGACCGCTTGTCCTTGCGGTTGATTTCCAGCTTATGCTCATGCAATCTTGTGCCAAGACGTTTGGCCGTTTCACCAACGTACCTCGCATCACAGTCTTGACGTGGTATTCTGTAGACCACCGCTAATTGTTCGGTCACTGGTAGCGGGTCTTTGGGCCTCATTATTTGCTGTCTGATTGTTAACGCTGGCTTATGAGCCACCCCGATCCCGAAAGGCCTCAGGATTCTTGCCGTCGCCTCTGATATGTGTTTCACATAAGGGTTTGCGAGCCAAATTTCGGGTTTTTTCCATCCGACCGCTCAGGGTGGAGCTTCTTAACACACTTGCGTGTGAAGGACTTGGGATAGCCGTTGACTTTAAATAGGGCGTGTAAGTATTGAATGTCCTCCTTTCTCTCATTGTCGTCGCTGCGGTGTGTTTTAACGCGTTGGAAGAGGGTTCAGACACAACTGCGTTTGTGACCAACGGGGTAGTTGCTTCTGAAGTGGAGGATTCGCCTGGCGTTAATTGCCTCACGGTAGACCGTTGTCCTTATCTTCCCGTCTTCCAGCTTTGTCACTCGTACGTCAAGGAAGGCCAACTGATTGTTGAGCTTTTCTTCCACAGTAAACTGGACGTCGGGCATACTGAATTCAACAGTGCCTTGGAAGTCTGTCCATCGTTCTTTTTGATGATGACGAAAACGTCACCGACGTATCCGGCCCAGAACTTCGGGGGGTACGAGCTGAAGACCAGCCGCTCGAGCCTCTGCAAAACCGCTTCGGCAATTAATCCAGACAGAGGCGAGCCCATCGGTGTACCCCTCTTTTGCTCGTAGACATGGCCGCTGAATGTAAGGAGTGTCTTACGACATAGCCCTAGGAGCTCGATGATGCGAACTTGTTTGAGCTGTTGATCAGTCTCATCATACTTTTCCTGGAGAAAGCCGTTAATAGTGTCGATAGCTAGCGCGGGTAGGATGTAGGTGAATAATGAGATCACGTCAAAAGACACAATCACCTCATCTGCCTCTACTTCGAGACGTTTAATGCGCGTCAAAAACTCTGTAGCCGACTTCAATTACGACAGTCGTCAAGGGGTCAAGGGTGACACGAGCCCACCAGCGGTCAACGCGGCGACGAACGGGCACGGCATAGTTCGTACCTCATGCACGGATATAATACTAAGCAGGTATCAAGGCTAAAGCAATCAAGGCCAGCAGGAACGGCCAACACATGACTCTGATGATAGAAACGAGAGGAGAATGAATTCGCCCTCTATTCTTCTTCGTCTTCTTCAGGGGATATTGAACGCGACACAATGCGTGGACCTCGAATATTTACCCATATCGATATATATATGGGCAGTATGTTTATACTGACAAAGACAAGGGAGACTGGAATGGCCATTTCTGGCTTATTAGCCGTCACCAGCCAGTCATACCCAAACCCGAAGCGTGGAACACCCGAGGCTCGAACTCGCGAACTATAAGTTAGAAGTCCACGCCTCTAGCCACTGGGCCACGAGCCCGTTACTCTGTCGGTTTTGATTGGAAATATACGATTGTAGGGGGTATGACTGGCTGACGACGGCTAATAAGCTGGAAATGGCCATTCCAGGCTCCCTTTTCTTTGTCGGTAATAACATACTGCCTATATTATGCGCCGCTGTGCGGCTGCTGGTTGGGCTCGAGAGAGAGCCCGTAAGGCACGACGGAACGAGTTGGTTCCGTAAGAGCGATCGGTGAGCGCCCCCTACCGTTATATATATATATATATATATATATATATATATAAGGCACAGACGGAGAGCTCTCCGTCTGTGCCTGACGACGACTCGGGGAATTGGCGTCGAAAATTTGCACAATAAACTTCCTTTCCCAAAGCACACATTCGACTTCGAAATATATATATATATTGTGGTGGGGGCGCTCACCGATCGTTCATACGGAACTCACTCGTTCAGTTGTGCCTTAAGGGCTCTCTCTCGAGCCCAACCAGCAGCCGCACAGCGGCGCATGATATATAGGCAGAATGGCATTACCGACAAAGACTTTGTCGAAGTCACATTGAATCGTCATCCCTCCCTACCCTCTAACACACGGAAGCCGCAACAGTTCCCTTTTCCCTCCTCCACCACAGACCCTAGACTAATTATGTTTCCAACCCCCTTCCATACATTAGGTGCTTACCTATTAGTGGCTGCCCTGTCACGCCAACCAATTCGGTCTGACCATTTCACTTTCTCCTGTTTATTTCGTCTGACGACGGGTTTGGCATCTGTACTGCCCACAAGACGGCGTCCTCCTTACGCGCAGCACTATCCCGGGCAAAGGATCCCATGCCCAAAGAACAACAAAGTAATATCATTTACCTTATCCCGTGCGCTAACTGCCGTTGCGTTTATGTTGGTCACACGGGTCGACAACTTGGGACTCGCATTAATGAACACAAGTAAGCTATCCGCCGACGCGACCCTTTATCTCTGCTGCTTGCATACGCTCTTGATTGTGACCACCGTTTCAATTGGGACAGTACCGAAGTGGTCGCCATGGCTAACACCAAACATGCACGGGAATTCCTCGAAGCTTGGCACTCCGGTGCAGATAGCATTAACCGCCATGTTGACCTAGATGTCCACTACGAGGGTCTCCGATCACGGTGGACTGACTGGCGCCCATCTTAAGAACAACAGCTAATGCGTGCCCGGACATGCAGGATCTCGCCGACACGCCATTCCTCCCTCCCTGCCCTACTCCCCCCCCCACAACACGGTGGACCACAGCTGCGACCCACAACACCTATCCTCACCTCCTGCACCCATCACAACACGATGCACACCTCCCCCTCGAAAGGTCGTCTGCTTACCTCTCTGTCTGCGTCCTCAACCAGCAGTGTGGCAATCCCACCTCTCACTATTCACTTTGTTTGACGACGGGTTGGTGCAACCAGCTCGAAAATTTAGGAGTAAAACTCTATTTCCGACGGACTTCCTCCTTCCATCATATCATCTCGGAATGCACACTACTTCAGTTATTCATCGTACATACATGCCCCAGGTCAAGCAGATCTGAAGAGTTGAACGTCTGATTGGGGAAGACTAGTAATCATCAGACGGCTGTCTCAGTCTCCACTTTCTGTTACGGTATTTCAGTCTTTCCGCGACTGTCTACTAGGGATTTACATCGAGCCCCAAGACAAAGAGTGACGAGCATGCCCCGAAACTTTCTCAGTGAAAGCACTTTCAACGTAGTTGGTAATCCTAATGGCAACCGATTGGTAAGGGTGCCCGTAACTTAGTGCTCATGCACTGGTCTTGGAAATAATTAATTACGAAAGATCCCAGGTCCAGGTGCTGGGGGTATTCGATTAGGTATGGTCGGCTGACCAAGTTTAATAGGCCAGAATTCGCCACCCCAGTCTCCGTTGTCTTTGTCGATCCCACCCCATTCTGTGACGGCTCCGTGTTGAAGCCTACGGAATCGCCATTCCCTTTCTCCTCCAACACAGTAGGACGTTACGGTGTTCCCCTTCCCGCATAAAACCTACCGTAATTATGCACTTATTCCCTTTACACATCAGTTGTGTGTCTTTCATTGTCTGTTCTGTCACGTCAACCAGTCCAGTCTGACAATCTCACTTTCTTCTCTGTTCATTTCGTCTGACGACGAGTTGATGTCACCAACTTGAAAAATCGCGATAACACAATTACTCGAGGAATCTCCTCTTTTCACACGGTGCGTTAGCTCCACGAAACGATGATGGCGCGCGCCACGGACAAGAGGGTAATTTCGGAGGCATTCGCAGTGGCCAATAGATTCAGGTAGGGCCGCTCCCATCCTCTTAAGCCTCATGATCTCTGCCATGCTGATGGATGCCTGCAGTGATGACAGTCCTGGGATGCGTATCACCTACAGAAATGGCGGGCATCTTCTCAGCAGCCAGCACATGAAGTCCCCAGCGTGACTAACTGCGACCACACTCCACGACCTGCTCTTCGCGGACGACTGCGCACTCAGGACTACGACTGAAGAGGACACGAAAAAACATGAGCTGCTTCGCAGTCGGATGCGCCAACTTCGAAATAACAATCAACACGGACAAAACGCTGGTCATGTATCAACCGTCACCCAACAAGGAATACAACACTCCTCAAATCAATGTCAACGGCAGCCAAATTAGAACCGTTGACAACTTCGCTTACCTAGCGAACACACGCACGCAGCACAAAATTGACGAGGTTGCTAACCGGATCTTCCAAGCCATCCAGGCCTTAGGTCGGCTGCAAGTCACCGTGTGGAACAGCCACGGCCTCCAACTGGACACCAAACTGAGGATTACAAAGTCGTTGTTTTAACGACATGTATGGAACGGAGGCGTGGACTGTCTTCTCCAGCCATGCCAGGAAGCCCGAGCACTTCTATCTCAACTGCCTCCACAGAATACTGACACTTAGATGGTACGACAGGATTCCAGACACGGAAGTCCTAGAACGGGCCGGAGTATTCGGCATCAACGCCATGCTGAGGCAACTGCAATTGCAATGGAACGGCCACCCAGTGACGATGGATGATTGATGATCACCCAAATGACCCTTTAACGGGGATATCGCCACGGCTGCTTGCCGGCAGGGAGGACAAAAACGACGCTAAGAGACATATCGAATAACCCTCTGAAGCGACTGCAGATCATCCCGGAGACCTGGGAGGGCTTCGCCCAGGACAGAAGGGCCTGGAGGAAAGCAGTTAAGACTGGCGCAGCAATCTACGAAGCAAAAGGGGTCGCGCTCCCGAACATCAAAAGGCAGGCTCACAAGTCTCAAGCGCCTCGGATACACGACGCTAACAGTCAGCCGCTCCGAACATATCCTAGCTGCCAACGCCCATTCCGCACGCAAATCGGCCTCTTTGGACACCTTCGGACGCTATGCAATAACAACCTGGCAATGTCAACTTCTTTCACGAACACCTCTACTGTCATCCCTGCCTCAAACATCACAACGACGACCACTCCCACCACCGGAGATCACATTGCTAGTGTTCTGCCGCACTCGAGCACCACCACCATTATCCTCGCCTCAACCACTACATCGTTCGCAGCGATCGGCTCCACTAACACCACCACTTCTCTCTCACTCCCACCACCGGAGACGGCATCCGACGTCCTGTCAACTACTACCTTCATCACCACCGCCCTTACCATTAGCAATACGGACTCGATCCCAGCCTGTCCGCATTGCGACGACGCATTCAGCTCACACGTTGGCCTGGTCGGTCACTTGCAAGCCCAACGCACTGTGACTAGTGCACCGGTGCCCAGAGCCCCGATATACATCCGTTGTACCCGCATCTAATGCCCGCACTGCACACACACTTTCACTTACCATATAGGCTTATTCGGAAACAAATTTCTTCTTCTCCAAACAATGCTATCGACAATTAAAAGAAGCTCGCATGGGTTCACCTACACCCGATTTCCTGACTGAGGCCGTAATGCAGAAGTTGAAAATTACGGCTCTTCCCACAGTTAACCCAGAACTCTGGCTGCGCTACATAAATAACACTTTTGTCATTGTCAAGAAAAACTAGTTAAATCTGTTCCATGCAAATCTTAACTCTATGTTTCCTGGAATCAAGTTTGCTTTCGAAAGGGAAGTTTATGGACAACTCCCGTTTCTGGATGTCAGAGTACGTCGGGAAACAGATGGATCACTTCATACATCGGTTTCTCACAAAGAGGCAAATTCGGAGGTCATCCTACATTTTGAGAGAAACGACCCTGTCACTCACAAGCAGAGTGGAGTCCACCGCCTTCTGAATCGAGGCAAAACTCACTGCTCTGATAAAGTCAGTTATCGCGCAGAATTGAAATGCCTTTACGAATTATTTTTCCAAAATGGGTACCTGCACGATTGTGTACGTCAATACATGAGGTAGCAACAACTCAAGGGAAAAGGTATTTGGAATGCTACGGCTGCCCCGGCGCCAAAACCAACCACCTGATGAACTCTCCCATACGTGAAAAATGCATCTGAAATAGTCGGAAGGCAAATAAAAAAAACATCAGATAAACATAGCACACCAGCCGGTAACCAACTTATGCACACAGATTGTACACTCTAAGGACAGGGCTAGCTACCCCGATAGAAAAAGTGTTGTTTACAAACGTGATATGGTAGTTGCGATGCCGCCTATTGCAGCCAAACTGGGAAACTTGTCTCAACCAGTATACATGCACATCAGGTGGCGGTAGAGACGATACCTTCTACCCGGGTGACCAGGCACACATTAAACATTGGACACAAATTTGCGTGGGTGAACAGTCGTATTGTTGGCGCCTGCCCAGTGAGACAAGGTCGTGAATTCCTGGAAGTAATGCACTCAGATGAAGCATGCGCTAACCGGTATATCAATCTAGATGCCGTATACAAAATCATTAGGGTAAAATTCAAACTGGTGCGACCAATCCCGAAGAGGTGGCGAACGGTAATTAACGCATACTGGTACAGACGTTGACCATTCGTAGAATCCCTTGTTAGAATCGGCTAAGATGTCAATTGTGTCTGTAGACCCATAGTCTGAAGACGAGAGTGGGAACCAGCTTCGAAAATTTACACAATAAAAATTCCAGTTTCCCAAACAGCGTCATTTTCCTAATTAAATTTCTTGGGATGTTCGTTTTCCAATTTCAATTTCCAAAGGACTCGTTTTTCCTCGCACTATGTTCTTTGGGGTGTCCATCATCCAGTATATACATATATATATATATATATGTGTGTAGATGTATATGTGTGTGGTAGGGTGGAGGTGGTATGCATTCCAAGCCGATATATCGGCTCATCATGCCTCACCATATAAGATGAAAAAGACAAGAGATTCTGGGGAAAAGTCGACTTGCACTCGTAAATTTTCAAGCTGGTGACACCGACCCGTCGTGCGAGGAAATAAGAACAAGGGGGAAAGTTAAATTGTCACACTAGACCAGTTGGCGCAACAGGGCTGTCTGTTCTGTCTGTATCTGATGGAAAATCTTGACGATTGCCCGCAGTAAAAAATGCAACGAACGTATGCAGCTTTAATGTACACCAAAGACTCAAAAAGCAAATGGACACTCGCAATCACGTGCAGGACACTGGTTAGATCGACCAAAGCAAGCCCGCAGTCGAAATGGAAACACACAAACAACGGATTGCGCGGCGTCAGCAAACGCTATCACGAAATGACACGTGGTAAATTATAACAAAATAGTAATACTATTTTTAGGTTTCATAAGATAGACGACATTTTCTGTTTTCTTAATTGAAACGGTCGATTATGCTGTCGGGGGACAACAAAAACATCCGAATTAAAAATCTAAGAATTTCCCAAAAGTTTAAAATTAATTTCCCCAAGGTACGGAGTATTATCCAACGAAATTATATGAATAAGTCTACTTACCAAGGCCATTGTTGATAGCATTCAGCTCCCGTATTCATCTTACGTTTGCTAATTAGCTATCTGGACTGCTATCTTCTTCAGTTAGTTCCTAAATGAACGCTGATTTGGAATCTGTCCGGAAGGGCTTTGCAGGCAAGAATGAAACGAGTGAAAGCGCACCAAAGAGTAAAAGAAAGGCACAAAGTAAGTGGTCTGTCAGAAACTTCTTCATGGTACCTTTATAACTGGTCGATGTAGGCCATTATCCGACTTTTCTAAAAAGTGACAAATGTTGTGGTGGTAAGCTACAATAGATAATGCTGAGTTGCTAATGTAGAGAAGGGATTATGACGAAGTTAATAGGGAGCAGGCCTCTTCATTATTTCGTCGTGTATTCAAAGCCTCATAAAAAGACTGTTGCATTTCATAAGCAACTTCACTTTATCGGTGTCTCAAACGGTGCTCGAGTGCCAGAGTGGAATTGATGGGTTACTGTCGAGCTTCTCTGTGTCCGCCTCGAACAGCCTCAGAAGACTCGCCATCCCTACTCGCACATGTTAACCGTTTTATATTATCTTTCTTTGGAATTGTTTGGCAATGAACTTAAAAAATGACATGGTAAAATAATTTTGCCCATTTATGAATTATTCTTTTATCCGTTCTGTTTTAGAGCATGGGCTTTCCAGGCAGGAATAAAAATGTGGAAACGATTTGAATGCTCAATTCTAGAGGCTCGTTTTCGGATTCTTTGGTTGCGGATAAGATACTCTGCATACCTTTGCTACCACAATCTTCAAGGTCCGGTAGTAACCAGAAGTTGAAATGGGAAATCACCAGTAGGTTTCTATTTCTCACATGTCTCTGCTGACGCTGAAGTCTGCTGACGCGACCAGCTCTAAGCCTCTGGTCGCGTCCATCACCAGCGTACTCTTGACTTTAATGAATAAGCGTGTGCTTCATGTAGTAGCCTGCCAGTATCAGCTTACTGAGTTCGTTGGAAAGTTTGTAAATTTTTGGACGCCTTTGCTCAGCGGCCATGAGGGGCAGAATGCGGGCATATTTTATAGACACGAAAGTCGTTGTTAGATGGTTCCTTGCTAGACATGTGCGTCCATGACAGCTGGCTTATATGCAGCTAATGTCGTTTTTTGGGGACAGTATTCAAAGCTTTTGTGAACCCATTATTTGACATAGCTGTGCTTGGATTCTGTGCCCCTGTAGTGGGCCACGTAGGGTTGCGCTGGGCCAAAGCGTGTGTCAAATCGCAGAACGCCATCCGTTATTCGGGATGAGCATCCATAGTAAATGACATGGGGTGATCCACTGGCACGCCTACATCAGTCACGCTGCGTCAGTTCTCTTGCACCTAGTCCCTTCATCAAATGGCCGACCCAGGCTTCACATCTCCTAGAAGGGAGGATGGCTCTTCGTCATTCGCATAAGGAGGTGTTTTTTCAGCCGGATTACGAACCGACAGAAAGACACAAGATGTGGGAGCTCTGGACAGAACTGAAAAGAAGGACAGAAGAGGGGGGAAGGGGTTGAAAATAAAGGAAGGCAAGATAATACAGATCAAGCGATCGTTCCTGCGGCTAACCCCATTTGTAATCAGGGCCGGCACCCTCCGAGAAGACGGACACTAAATGTGCTGTACTCGAATGCGCAGAGCCTGTTAAACAAGATGGATGAACCCAGGACTCTGATCGACGAGCGCAAGCCAGATATCATCGCCTTGACAGAAACATGGCTTTCTGAAGCTATTGGACATCAAGAACGGGCAAATAATTCAGGTCAAGTGGACATTTCTCTGACCGAAAGCCGTCATTCTGACAGCCTAACTAACGCAAAAGTTCCAACTTCTGAGGCTGTGGGCACCAGTGGTCGTTGTCACGAAATCTATTACACTAACTGTCAGAGCCTCCTCAACAAACTAGATGAACTCAGATTACTAGTCTCTGAACAGAAGCCTCACATAATTGCCTTGACAGAGACATGGTGGTCTGAGGAGATAATTAGTAGCGAAGTCAGTATTGAAGACTACCAACTCTTCCGTGGTGACAGATTTCAACGAAGAGGAGGAGGCACAGCGATTTATGTCTCAAATGAAATTCCTTGCTCTTAGCGAAAAATAATCGATGACGCGCCGCGAACTTTTGAAATAATTTCAGGCAAGATATGCATCAAACAATTACCGACACGTAACTTGTGTGTTGTCTATCGGCCTCCCAGCTCGAATAAAATCGCCGATGTGGAAATACTTAGTGTACTGGAGTTGTTATGTAAGCAGGAGAACTTACTACTTCTGGATTACTTTAACGCTCCCGGAATAGGCTGGAAAGTTCCCTTAGCAAACGCCCCGTCCACGTCATTTGACCACAAGCTACTACAACTCTCCCTGAATGAATACCTCAATCAACACATAAAATTGGGAACAAGACTAAGAGACGGACAACGATCTAACTGTTTAGATCTCGTTTTCAGTAAAGAAGGAGTCATAAGGGAAGTAAATCCACAACCTCCACTCGGTTTGAGCGATCATATTGCTTTTACATGCGTGTGCTCTCTCCTATCGAACCAACAAACAAAAATCCAGAGTCGCAGAAATATTTGGAAGGGCGATTTTAACGCAATGAGACGTGCTCTTTTGGAAGAAACCTGGTTAGTCAACAACAAAGATTCTGAAGAATTCTGGCAGTACTTTCGCGGGATTATAGAGCATCTAATTGACTCCTATTGCCCACTAAAAATAAGAAGACCATGTGGGCGACCGCCGTGGGTCAATCCGACGACAAAGAAGGTCATGAAGAATAAACAGAGACTGTGGAAAAAGTATTTGCAACTTCGAGATCCAGTAACAGCCGCCGAATATAAGGATCAGCGCAATAAATGCCGCAAACACATACGGATTGCTAAAACTTCTCTCGAGCGCCGACTGGTAGCAGAATCCATTACATGTCCGAAGAAGTTTTACAAGTACATCCCTAGTAGGAGAAATCATAGGGACGAAATTGCGTGTCTTAAGGATAGTCTCGGAAACTTGTTAGTCGAAGGGCCCCAGAAAGTGCTGTTACTGTCTGAGTTTTTTTAATCGGTTTTTACGGAGGAGTCCTCAAAAGACGATCAGCAGTTTGAAATGGACCGAAACAGCCGGGAGCTTAAAATACGCCAAGATACTGCCGTCATTGAAACCGTTGTCTTTTCCGTCGAAGAAGAAAGACGCGTCCTCAGTCAAATAAAACCAGATAAGTCTCCTGGACTCGACGGAATTCCTGGTCTGATACTTAAGGAGCTTTCAAAGGAGCTGGCGAAGCCTCTTTCGGTGCTCTTTGAGCTGTCAATGAGAACGGGAAGGCTGCCATCACGGTGGAAGACAGCGAACCTCGTTCCTCTACATAAAGACGGTAGCAGGATGGCAGCAAGTTGTTTCAGGCCTATTAGCTTAACCTGCCTCTCGTGTAAAACGATGGAAGCTCTAGTAAAGAGTGCCATACAGCAATTTTGTGAAGAAAATAACCTCTTGCAGGATTTTCAGCATGGCTTCCAGAGAGGACGTTCCTGCCTCTCAAATCTGCCAGCGTGTCTGGAGATCTGGATTAGGGCCATAGAAGAGGGTTTTCAAGTTGATGTCGTGTACATCGATTTTCGCAAAGCCTTTGATACTGTTGCGCACCAACGCCTTCTTCACAAATTGAGCGCCATCGGCATCCGGGGAGATCTTCTGAACTGGATAGGGGCGTTTCTGGTTGGTCGGAAACAACGTGTTTGCCTCGGTGATGATATGTCAGAATGGGTGAGAGTGACCAGTGGTGTGCCGCAAGGCTCAGTTCTGGGACCATTGTTATTCCTCCTTTATGTTAATGACAGCCTTCAGGAACTCGACTGTGGCAAAATAATGTTTGCTGACGACGTTAAGCTCTGGCAAGTCATTAAGAGTCCTAACGACCAGAGATCTCTCCAAAACAATCTTCATCGACTGCAAGCATGGTCGGAGAAATGGCTTCTAGACTTCAATGTGCAGAAATGTGCCGTCCTCCATCTGCGTCCAACTAACACTCATTCAAATGAGAGCCTGAGGGCATATCGTCTGAAAGATATAAGACTCCCAGCAGAATCTTCACAGAAGGATCTCGGGGTTTGGATGCAGAACAATCTGAAACCAACACTGCAGTGCCACAAGGCTGCAAAAAACGCCATGGGAGTGCTGCATGCAATCAAAAGGGCGTTCGTTACCTTTGACCAAGACCTTTTTGGGAGAGTTTACGGCACCTTCGTTCGGCCCCACTTAGAATATGGCGTACAAGCATGGCGGCCATGGCTAGTAAAGGACCAAGCACGCCCCGAACGGGTGCAACATAGGGCAACAAAGATGGTAAACGGTCTAAAAAACCAATCCTACACGGACAGACTGAATTGCCTTAATGTTTTCCCTCTGCGTTACAGGCAGCAAAGAGGTGATCTAATCCTGGTTTACAAGATAACAAATGGCCTTGAGCATGGACTTAGATTTGAGGACATGTTTCAGTGGCACCTTTCACCCAATCTTCGTGGCCACTCGATGAAGCTACGGACAACAATGTCCAGGCTGAACCTTCGTTCTGAATTTTTCACGCAAAGGGTAGTGGAGAAATGGAACGATCTCCCTCAGTCAGTCGTGGAGGCGACATCCCTGCAACTCTTCAAGAAACGCTTGGATGATTATTTGTGTCCCCTGCTTTCCCTCGACAGTCTGAATCTGAGCTAAATACACCGCTTCCCCACATATTTTTTTTCTCTGAGACAAGGCTACTCAAATGAACCAAGTACTGTTTTAATAGTGAACATTTTTTGTTCGTGTACAGTTATTTCTAACGAGCTGACATGTAATCAATAGGGTTTTCAAAGGCTTTGCCTATCATCCTTATCAAATAAACTGAAATAAACTGAGTCGTACAGTTAATTAATATTTGTGTGGTAGAAGGATCAGTGATTTCGACCCTGGGAACTCCATTTCCCCGGCATTCAGTGTGTATTCCTCACTGAGAACAATCCAACGCTCTCGGATCTATCAAGGTGAGCAAAATGCCGTGGCTTAGAAGACTGCAAAGTTTGAAGGCAAAAATAACTCGGTCCTCCCCTCTCTACAGGGAGTCAAGCTCCAGCGAGTCCTTCTTTTTGTGGCCTACATGTCACTCCTAATCTGGTAGGATCCTTGCCGCCCTGCTGTGAAAACACGGTCCGACGTTCGCCGATCAGATGTGTTTGACACTTGAAGAATTCTGTTCAACATTCCAGGCACTGTGTCCGATTCCGCACCCGGCCTTCTTCGCTCTGTCTTAATACGGGCTTATGTGAGTGAAAAGGATGGAGGCAAGCTACATGCCGTGCAAGACCGTCATCTGTATAGACTGTTTTAAGCTCTCATCATCACACCTGGGCCTGCCTCGCTCCGCGGTAAATGTGTGCAGGGACGCTCGCAATGATCCAACTGTCGCAAATGAATCCTAACTTATCATTGTGAAAACGATATTTACATAGTTTATGTGGCGGTATCTTACAGCACATTTCTACGCGATAATGGCGTGGTACTTGGTCCACTTGCTGCCTATAGAGAGCGGACAAGGAACAAACGAAATAACTTAAATGCTTTTTGAGGATCTTTGGTGATATCGCCACGGGATTGAACTGTTAAAGCTAGCTATCATTTCAGTACTAATAATATTTTTTATAAAAGACCGGTTGGGGTCCCATCAAAGCAAGTAAAAGTAAATTTGCATAGCATTTTAGATGAGGTTGGCAGGATCTGTACAAAAATGAAATAAATAATTTCTGAATATGTAGTCCGTTAAGGTAAATGATGAGCGAGCGAGAAAAAAACTCCACTTAAGAATTTAAAAATGATTGGATTAATTTTACAGGAGAAAAACCCTCGCTTATAATAATAACAGAAACGCGCGGGCAGGACAGGCCTGCATGTGGGGGTATATAACGGATTATAATCGGACATCGTCAGGGCTGAAATGAGTGTCAGCCTTGATTATAAGTGGACATCGTCAGGGGAGAAATACCTGTCAACCTTGAGGGGTATGTATGCGGGTCGGACAGGACTGGCCTGTATGGGGTATTGTATACGGGATTCAGAACTGATATCATCAGGGCAAGATTGATACGCCGGATAGACTATTCGCGTCAAAGAGACCAGACGAGAGGAACCCAGATGCGATCGGTCACAGTCCGCTTCGAGTCCAGCCGAAGAGTGGGCAAGGGAGTTACGAACAAACTACTAGTAGACGGCGAATACTGAGGGTTCCGCCGTGAACGTCAACAGACCGCTGGAGGTCGAGGTCGAGCGCGAAAATCGTCTGTGCGGGGTAGGAGTGATAGCAGTGGGCATAGTGACCAATTCAAAACCGGGGGTTGTGAAGATATAAATGAAGGTTCCCACGTAATCTACTACTAAATCCCAGAAGAACCTTTCGCGAAGTCAAGAATCTGAGTGTTCGGGAATGAGACCGTTACCAGTGCCTTTATGCCTTCCGGTGTAAGATGTTTGCGTAATTTCGACTTGAAGCCCAGTAACTTTGGCGACGACCTAATTTCTGGTGGAAGATTATTGCAAGATGGGGCATATTTGGAAGCAAGGAAGAGGCAGCACTTAGATGCAGTGCAAAGAGACGGCGGAATCACCATGCAGGAGTTGCGCGTGGCATAAGGCCGATCTCTCGGAGTAAGAATGTCAATTAGCGGAAGATTAGAGCAAGATTTAAGGTGAAAAAGGAAGAAAAGGCCAACTTCGCGTCTTCTAACCCACAAAAGCTTGATGTTCGCCAGCTGGCATTTCCGAGTATAAGAAATACCGGATGAAGCTTCAGAGAACAGTTTCCTGGTGAAAACCTTCTGAACATTTTCGATTTTATTACGATCGCGGGCGTTCATTAAACCGAAAAAAGGACAGCAGTATTCGAGGACTGGAAGAACAAACATTTGATAAAGTCTTAGCTTCATTTCCGGAAGGAAAATATTATGCGCTATGAATCCACATATCTACGCGCCTTTGACAGAGATTCTATCTGCATGAGGTGATAAAGCAAGCTTATTTGTATAACTTAGACCTAGGTCCTCTATGGTGAGGCATTCTGAGAGTGGGTTATTCTGAAAAATTATGTGACGAGGAAGTTTGGCAGGATTAACAGACATAAAACTACACTTGGATGATGAAAACTCCATCTGCCATGTCGAACCCCATCAGTTTAGGCGTAGTAAATCGGCATTCATTTTTTCAACACAAACATTTTCGGTGTCCTTAGAATATGAGCAAACACACTTGGGGTCATCGGCATAAGTAAAAGTTTGCGAATTTCCGAGTTCAGTCGAAATATCATTGATGTACAGAAGGAAGAGTAGCGGACCCAGGACCGTACCTTGAAGTACGCCACTCGTGATTGAGTGAGGTGTCGAGTGGCTATTACCGACCATGACTTTCTGATATCGGTTGGACAGATAGGACCTGATGAAGTCAAGTAGATATGGCCGGATGCCCAGAGCTTCCAATTTTACCAAAAGACGTCTATGGGGCACCTTGTCGAAGGCTTTGCTAAGAGCAAAATACGTAACTACCACTGACTGTCGCTCATTACGAAGAGAAGTGATTAGAGTAAGAAATGTCAGGTGGCAAGTTTCGCAGGATCGTTCAGAAAAAATCCATGCTGCCTAGAGCTCAGAAGCCGATTAGCTAGACAGAAGTCAAGAATTTCATTGAAAATAATCCTTTCAGGAAGCTTTGCTAGAGTTGTTGTTTTGTGCACATCCGGATAGTTATCAACATCGGACCGAGATCCAGACTTGAAGATGGGATTGAAAATTGACGTTTTCCATGTTTCAGGAGAGAAACAGCGTCCACCAGGCTGAATCGACAATGAGAGTGGTATCACGCATAGGAAATAAACTGACTGCCTGTGATCTCCGAAAATATTGGACATATTGCCCTACTACTCATTACGCAAGGAATTCAGGCCCAACATTCATCCCGGACATATTCGTGTGTAGTTACATCAGGCGCCCACAAAACTGAGATGATAGCATCTTTGTATATAAATAGAAATATTTCCTTGTTAAGACGTCATGCGAAGTTTAATCCCCTTCAGGTATTTTGTCCTCATGCGTTCGTTCTGGAGACAGGTTGTCGAACGCTGCTGAAAAACAAAGCACTTATATTAATCCGAATCCAACAGCCGTAGCCCAGTTTGTTTGCAGATGATACAGAACCTTGTGAGGGCAATCTAATAAACTGGATCTCTAACGACTTTCCAGAGCTTAACGTCGTCAACAAACAGGAACGTTCCGCACTCCAGTTTGCGAGGATCGTCATTTACATAGTGAATGAGGACCCAGAACCGTGACCTAGGGCCATAACTTGTTGAATTCATCTACTCTAGTTGATCTTTCCCGAAAAGGATACCTTGCTTTCCGTGAAACAGGACTTTCTTTACCAAGTTAAAAAGCTTCCCCTCCGTTAATATGAAATACTTCGTTGGTGGACATCGTGTAATCCTTAACGCAAATAGCTATGCACCACATCTTTTTGATACCCTCCCTTTAAGCTTTAGTTCAGACTCCCGGAGAGTGGACATAAATTCATTGAGAAAGGCTCTTCTAATCGCGCACAGGATACCCATAGCTTTCTTTGATACCTTCGCGCAGTGAGACGATGGCTTGTGAGTTGACGCCATCCACACACCGAGGTCTCCTAACTCGTTGGTTGATTCAAGTTGGTGACCTCCGATAGAGCAGTGGGATTCAAATCTCAACGGCTTTCTGTTGCTAGATCGTAATCGGATAAGTTGGCATTTGTTAAAATTGAGGTTAGCACACCACTCATCACACAATTGTTGCAAGTGATTCAGATCGTTTTGTAACTGTGTTGAGTCTTTTGGCTTCTCTGTTGATTTCCACAAATTGAAATCATTGGGAAACATTATGCGCGCACAGTTTTGACAGTTCAGGCAGTCGTTCACATAAATTAAGGAGAGAATTGGACCCATAGCGCTCTCCTGCGTAACGCCACTGTGGAAGGATGCCCATTCCGATGTAGCGTTTCCGATATACACACGCTGAGATCTGCCCGTAAGAAAATCGGCTAGCAATTTTGACAGATTTCCATTCTCAGCCACTCGACGTAGTTTAAATATAGGTCGTCTATGTGAAACGCTATCAAAAGCCTTTCTGAAGTCAATGTACACGGCGTCGACTGGTAAACCCATGTCGATTTATTTCGTCCAGATCTCCATGGATACTAACAGGTTAGTTATGCAGGAGCGACCCTTTCGAAATCCATACTGATGCAAAATGAGCAAGTTGTTTTCTTGAAGATGCTGCATCAGCTTCGTTTTTATTACCTTTTCCATCACCTTGCAAGAGATGCTTGTGAGACCCACTGGTCTGAAACTATTTGGGGCTGTTCATTCGCCACCTTTATATATGGCGCTTATATTTCCTTTATTCCAGTCGGTAGGCAGAACCCTGGCCTCCATCGAAGATTTAAAGATCTTGGATAACGGGGAGGCCAAATGGTCTGAGAGTTCATTCAGAACTTTTACGAATACGTCGTCCGGACCATGCGATTTAGTGGGCCGTAGCTGACTCAAAGTTTGCCTTACCGTGTCTGTTATGAAGGCCACCGTGCTGATTGCATTTCTTGATTTGACAATTGGGGGGGGGGGTAACTTCATTCACAAAAAGCTGACTCCTTGGCATACACAGACGTGA